TAGGAGTAGCTCGTCGAACCGGCCAAGACTAGCTCGGTCTATGAACCGAGCTAATGAAGGCAAGGGGACTGGGGGTAGTTTAATGGGAGTTGATTGCTCGACTTGTGTCGAGAGCTCAGCATTTAATAGTTCTACATGAGAATAGCTCGGTCATCCAGGAAGACTGATTATGGAGAGCTCGACATTTAATAGTTCTACATGAGAATAGCTTGATCATCCTGGAAGAATGAATATGGAGAGCTCGACATTTAATAGTTTTGCATGAGAATAGCTCGGTCATCCTGGAAGACTAAGTATGAAGAGCTCGGCGTATGAAGCCTCATCTAAGAGTAGCTCGGCCTTACAAAGACTATCAGTAGCTCGCCCCAGCAATGAAACTGACAGTAGTTCGGCCTACTAATAGTAGAGCTTAATAATCTGTCACAAGAATAACTCAGGATGACTGAGCAGGGGAACCCTCAAAAGAGAGGAGTATCGGGAAAGGCTTAAAGGCCGAGCTAATACTGCAGTTACACAGGATCATAAAAGAATAAGTGATCTAACGGACGAGGAGCGAAGCGTACAGGAGAAGCTAATAATTCCATATAAATAGGTAAATCAGGGAATGTGAGAAGGTTAATCGCACTCTACAAACCTTAACAATACATACAATTACATACAACTTTCTTCTATTTTTTACTGACTTGAGCGTCGAAGGTTTAACACCGAGAACATCTCCCGACATCTTTGCAGGTCTCCGGAGTGCAAGCGGTTGAAGATCAATGGAGAGCCGATTCGAGGTGCAAGAGCACATCAATGCTCATGAAAAGTTACTCGAAATAAAGGGAAAGGCAAATATAAATCACTCCCGAGTTCTGTATTTCAGGCACACAAAATCTAATTATCACAATGAACTCGAGTAGAATGGAGAAAGCAAAAAACCAAGAAAAAGAACATAAAAGCTAAAATAGAGAGTAGCCACATAAAAGATGATAAGTTGAAGGAATAATGAATTTAACAATGGATATCACCTCCAAAAAGTGTGTGGAATAGAATCTTCGGATAGAAAGCAATTGGCATCAAAAACGAAGATCCCACCATTAAAATACCAATGAAATCAGTTCATTCTCACAAATAGTGCTAATGTCACATAAAACCAACATCATAAGAAAACCTATGGCTACAAGAAATTCTGAACTTGTCTTAGAACATTGATCAATTTCCAGATACATTTAACACTTGATCTCCTTCAAGCCATGGGCGAAGTACAAGAAAGTCGGATCAACAGCACCTTCCTTGTAGTAGGCAAACACCAGGGTGCTGTCATCATGCATGCTCTCCCCCACAAAACTACATACGAAACAAAAAAAAATGAGAATAAATAAATTTAACCAAAAGATGTGATAGTTTTGGACAAGAATTCAAGGAATCATTTAATAAAATAGTTAACACCCAAGGTTCACGCCTAAATACAAAAAAAAAAAAAAAAAAAACCAATAGTGTTTTGCCCTTCACAGCTCAGACCTTAAAGTTCGCTTCCTTTTTCAACATTTATTTTTTGGTTAACCATGATTTCGTATATCTATTGATGCGTGGGAAGGGGAAAAAGGTTATTAGGATTCTACTTTCCACTTACAATTGAAGGTCTTTGATCTTAGAGAGCAAAAACTTGGTGGCCCCCTCAATGGTCTTCTTGAACTGCTCTTGCTTCTCGCCTTCGAGCTTGGCCGACAACAACTTGATGTACTTCTTGATGTACGCGACAAACGTCTTCTTGTCAAAAGGAGGTTGCTCCTATTAAAAACAAAATGATTAGAAACAAAAAATAATAATGGTAATAATAAGGACCACATAAGTAGATTGAAAACTTGAAGACAATTGAACCTGTAGCCTAAATGTGTCGACAATGTCAACAACTTTAACGGCTTGGTCATCAACACCATCATCCTCCTCACCACCTTCAGCAGAAGGGTTTGCGCCAATGTCTACATCCACAGCTCCCTTAACAACCCACTGACGAAAAAACAAAGAAAATCACAATTTAAAATCTCGTGAACTTCTATACATAGAGGAAAATATAATAAAATTAAAAACAAATAATGCGGGGTGCAATATTGACTCAGTACCTTTCCTTCGACTTCCCAAAGGGCTCCATTCTCGATTTCCTTGTAGGGGAAAGAGTCCGACAGAAGTTCATCTCCTGCAAATAGTATTGCAAATTTAACAACAGTGAAATTTTTAACACAATATGGAAAGAGATGAAAATCGTGAAGAGCAGAGAAAACACGCAACATAACAGTTTTCCTAGAACATGTAAGCTAACAAAATTCAGCATCATAGTAATCCACAGAAAGGACGCAACATGTAACTGCAGCAACAATCCATTTTTATTATATTTGTAGAATAATTAATCCTGTAACGATCTCAACAATAACACTTGATACAAATTCACGGGATGAGATATGATAGCAACATGGAATGTCATCAATGTAGCAAAACAATAAGCAAAGAGAAATATATGAACTTCACAAAATCCATTTAACATGAACAAGATTAGAGCTAGATCCAGAAAAAGACAGAGCTAATATGGAGATGAAACTCAGATAAAATAAAAAAAAAAAAAAAAAAAAAAAACACCCCATAATATTGTNAAAAAAAAAAACATGATCTTTATAGTAGAAGACAGATGTCTTTGGCAAATTCCACCGCCAATCAGCTACAGATCGCAAGAAATACAGTCTTTTGAAAACACTATCCTCAGCAGGAGTCAACGCTAACTATGGATTTAAAAGTGTAAATTAAGTTCCAACAGCATCACGACCTACCCAACAGTTGAAGCTGACAGACTAATTCAAGATCTAAGCTTTATAGAGAAACCAACCGTACAAATTATAATCGACACAAACAAATTAATTTAGTAAATTCAGCCTCAGAAATCGAGGGATCGAAAACCCATCCAAATAATCAACACTAACTTAATAATGAATAAAATCTATCACTAACATCCATGAACAGATCTAACTGCATGCATTAAAAGGAGTGAAAAGAAATAAACAAAGAACTCAACGCAGAAATTCTCGCTCTAACAAAAAGAACTGGATTACCTGTGAGCAAATCCTGATAGACTAACATGATCACAGAAACTTGAGCTCTCGATCTATTTCAATGGAAAAGAAAGCAGGGAGATTCGGGAGCCGGGGAGAGGGCGAGAGGGATTTCAATGAACTGAGATCGCAGCTATATATATGTGGAGGGTTTGTGGGTGTGGAATTACGAAACTAGGCATGTATTGTATTGGAACCAGAGTCTTATTTGGTAAGCCTCATAAGCTAACTTATATAATATTTGGTTAGCTTATAAAATCATTGGATCGGTGGATCCAAATCTATGTATATTAAGAAAGGTTGATGTTATATTAATTTTTGAAAAACTAAAAAAAAAAAGGTCAAACAATTTGGCTTATCACTTATAGAAAAACATTTCAAAATTCAAATGTTTCATTAGTGGTGGATCCAAATCTATGTATATTAAGAAAGGTTGATGTTAAATTAATTTTTGAAAAACTAAAAAAAAAAGGTCAAACAATTTGGCTTATCACTTATAGAAAAACATTTCAAAATTCAAATGTTTCATTAGTTGCACATCAGGCATGTACATATGGCTTGGTATCAACTACCTTCCATAATTTTAGTATGAGATTTGCAGAGTAGTTTAAAAAATTCCGATTTCTACAACTTCAAAGATCTGGTTTAATATTTAACTATTATCTAAAGCAAATTAGAAAATTTCTATTGATTTGAAAAAAAAAATGTTAGATTTAAGAATGATCGATTTCTTCATTTCAAAGATCCTATTAAATATCTTGAGATAATCATCTAAAGAAAATAAGAAAATTGTAGTTTTTGATTGATATTAAACAAAAATAATTTTTAAAAATGGATTTTGTTAAAACTTTTGATACCTAAATTTTTTGTTTAAAATTAATTTATGGTATCCTAAAGAGTGTAAATAACTTTGTTTTTCATATGATTTTTTTTCGAACTCCTTAAAAAAGTTTTGAATTAATTTATGTTCTTAACTAACATTTTTTTTAAATAAAAAAATCATTTTAAGGAATCCTGAGCGAGTAAATAATATTATTTTTCATATCAGGGAATTTTTTTGTGGAGAACTCTTCCGGATACATCCACGTTAAAATTTAAACAATTGAACCATGTGATTGATTTACAATATACAAGTGAAAACTTGGAAAAATATCCAATATTTTATGAATTAATTCTATAATTTAATTACTTTATTATAAAATACGTCGTCTATAACTAATTCAAATTGCCTACACACACTTAAATAAATCGGAGTGCGATATACAAGTTAAAACATGCACTAATTTGTTACCTATTCTATAGTACATTCTCTTAATAAAAAATATCAAAAATTATTTTTGGATTAACATCACACAGTTATATTGAATCTTAATTATTTATTAACATAAACAACATTTAAAAGATTTTACATATGGCATGAGTATTAACCATTAATTCTGCAAATATTTATTTTCTATTCTACAATAAACACACAATTATTGATAAACTTTTATCTATAAAAAGGTTTCATAAGTCAACCATTTAACACACTTCTTCCACATTTTTCAATTCGTTATTTTATATAGTGCAATATTTTCAAAATATCAAAATGCCGCTTGTGTGGAGTTCTCTCAAGTCAGTCTGTCGTACTGATAAGCCATATTTCAAATTGAGGGTTGTGTGCGTATTGAATGCAAATTTGATGTCAAATACAAGAACGTATTGGAAATTGTTTTCCATGATGAAGGGGTAATTATTTTTTTTATTTATCGATCTCTTACATACATGTGTGTGGTTTAAATGCTCTATTATACTCTATTTATGCGTGCTTCAGTTTCCTTGATCGTGTAGGGTGGACGTGTAATTTGAATGATTCATTCAGTCAATATCTTGAAATTTAGCAAATTTCTTAAAGAAGATCAAGTGTATGATATTCTCAACAATCAAACTAATAGCAACATTGGGTTGTACCGGTCCAAAATCCACAAACTTAAGCTTGTCATACATAGGATGACTGATATATTGAAGTTTAAGGGTGATTTTCCATATTATCGATTTGATTTTAGAAAATTTATCACTCTCGGCGATCTCGAGAATGTTGACGAATCCATCCTTTTGGGTACACTCATCAAGATTAAGCTTTCTTTATACTTTTATTCTTCATGAATTTTAATGTTCTTTAATTATTGACGTACTTTTCTTATGAGTATTTTAGTCGTCATTGGAAATGTTGTGGAAATTGGTTCTGTTTTTGTTAAAATCATTAAAAGTGTCCCCAATCGAATGATTGTTTTCCATCTCATTGACATTGAGTACGCGTATAATGATCAAACCCTTTGACTTACCAATTATGGAAAACCACCTCAAAAAATCCAAAAATTACGCAGGCAAGAAGATGTTGATTCCTAGAATGGTTATATCTCCTTTCGATGTCAGATTCCATTCAAGTTTTAGCAGCGACAGTTTCCCATTATGGTTTCGTACGCCATGACTGTAAAGAAGAATCAAGGATAATCGTTATCGCATGTTGGTTTGTTTCATAAGAAGTCGGTTTCAATCATTAGCAATTATATGTTATTGTCTCCCGAGTCACCAACCAAAGTGGTTTGAAAATATGAGTTTGTGGTGACGATGACTTGCCAACAAATCAAACAAAAATTATTGTGTACAAGGAAGTGTTCAATAATTTATGATTTTTTCTTTTATTTGTGACCCGTTTACTTTTGACATATATAACAAGTATATTAATTTTAGTATTGAATATTTTAAATATTACAGTATAATGTATCATCTCGTGCATCGTACAGGTAATGACTAGTAAGGTAAGATGAGCTTTTTCTAAAAAGTTTATCGTTGGGTAGCTTTTCAAATAAATCTGTTGAAATTTTTGTTTCTGATAGCTTATTAGTTAATTTTTTTTAGACTGGAAACAACAATCTTTTATTTCTTTAAAAGGAACACTGTTTGTCCCTTTTTGTTGCATTTTTTGTATTGTTTTGCCTTTCATTTCCCCCTGTTTTAGATTGTTTCCTTGGTTTTTAGTCAGTTTTGTGTTTTGTTGCGAGTTTTTCTTTATTTTGGGTTTTTCTGTGTTTTCGTTTGTGTTTCTTTGTTTTCTTCGTGTTTTTTTCGTTTTTGGTGTACAGGTCGGGAGCTTCGTGTGGATATGATTTCAAGAATAAATTGTTCATGCGAGCATAATTAACTATAATGATTCGTTGGCGACGTGTAGGAAAAAATGACACTCAATTCCGAGTTTGGACGAGCTCAAACGAACCCGAAACGCAAAGTCACGCAGTCCAGTCTCTCGTAGCGCTAAGGGTCTAGCGCCGCTAAGGCCTGCGCGAACAGAACTTAATAAAAGCCTATTTTGCTCGTTTTTTCGGATACCTTTCATTGGGACTCGTTCCCATCACTAAAAAAGAGACCCCTAAACTAGTTTATCTCCAGTTTTTCACCCTCAAACACTTGAATCTTCATCACGGATTGATCTTGGAGAGTGACACTCCAAGGTTTTTTTTTGGGTTTATTTGTACTTTGGATTCGACCTTGGCTTCTATATTAATCGTAAGCATTAATAATCGTTTAATCTATGAGATTGATAATATGTGTTTTTTTTTTTATTTTTTTCGAAACGATAGAATGTATATATTTCAACAAAATAACAAAGTTTGTACAAGCCGGAGACCAACTGGCCTACAAGACCTATAGAAGGCAAACAAAACACTGATCAACTAAATATTACACAACTAACAACTAAATCCAATTGAAAGTTTGCGAACTGGCTGTTGGCAAATGCATTTTCCATTGATTCCAACAGCTAGCACCCATAAGAGAGTTCAACCACTGCACAACAAATGGCCTAGAAGAACTCCCAGCAAAAGAAGTATAAAGCCAACATCTACAACTAATAAACAAGAATAAAAATAAATACAAAACTAGAGATATCACCAAACAGAGAGAACAACAGCCAAGCAACCAAACTAAGCAGAGACTGTGACATATTCCCTCCATTCCTTACCAGCAAACTCTGCCACAACTCTTTCATCCATCAATGAATCTTTAGACATCCATAAATTCCTTGCTTTCCACAACCACCAGAGGATATAAATAAAGAGTTGAATTCTTGCCTCTGAGGTTGCAGTTTTGTTAAGTCCCCATACACTTGACCACCAACCTTGAAAGTTGTCAGTTTTTTAATTCAGTTCTTCCCAAGAAACCTGCGAGTGGCTCCAAACTCTTTTAGCTCTAGTACAGTAAAAAAATAGATGTTCAATTTTCTCAGGTTGCTCCCCACACCCTTTGCAAATACAATCCAGCTCCATCCCCCTCCTAATCAGATTACAATTGACAGGTAGAGTGTTGTTGAGGCACCTCCAAATAAAGTGTCTCAATTTCCTTTTCACTTATAGCCCCCAATTCCTCTCCCTGGTAGCCTTTCGAATTTCCTGTCCACTGCTGCCCTCAGCCTGATCCATGATCTTCAATTTTTCTACAATTATCTTTGCATATGTGGAAGAGACTGAGAATGCACCCTTGGTCCCACTATCCCATTAAAGTCTGTTAGGTGCTGAAGGATCAATTCCTTTGATGCTGAGAATAGCCTGAGCCTCTGTTTCACTAAAATACTCCTTAACCAACTGAGAACCCAATGTCTCCCTGTTGGATCCATCAAGTCTCTCACCCAGATGAGATGAATATTGGAAGTTATGGTATTGAGGAGAGTTTAAATCCAGGCAGATTGGGGATCCATGGAAACTCCCATATTTTCACTGTTTTCCCATCTTTGATGTCATATCTAGCACTTGTCTTCAAGGAATCTCTCACTTCAATCCAACTATTCCACAACCATGAGTTGTTCTTCTTCTTCATGATTGTAAACAGGCTTTCCTGGGAGAAGTATTTTGCTTTGAGAACTTTGCTGACTAACAAATTAGGTCTTGTGAGAAGCCTCCAAATTTGCTTGGCTATGAGTGCTTTGTTGAAAAGAATGATATCTTTGAAGCCCAACCCTCCTCTGTCTTTTGGAAGCTTTTCATATTTGAAATCCACAATGACTTTATTGGCCCCCAACTGAATTCTAGCACATCACATCAATGGTTGAGTGATATCCACCATGGCTAGAATTCTAATGCATTTACTTGCTAGGAATCCTCCCTAAGGAATTAAGACAACTTTAGTTTTGACAAAGGCGTGACC